TTTTTTTTTGTTGTGTGTGTATATATATATATATATATATATATATATATATATATATATATATATATATATATATATATATATATAATTTTACTTTTTCTTGACCTTTGATTGAGGATCCTGGATCTGCTTGTTGATCATTTATGTTGGAAATAAGATTTCAGTCCATCTGCAGGGAATTGGAGTCGCTTCGAGTTGGAAACAGCTGATTCATTGTACTAGTTAATGTTTCTTCATTTTAGTTTTACATATGTAAAGTAGATATATGCAATATTTCTAAGTACTTTTATTGACATATTGATGATTAAATCTGTTTCATGATTACCGGTGCTTTTTTGTTAAAGCTGCATGGAAAGCGATCTCCACCAAACTTTACATTTCAGTACTTAGTGATACATCCATTAGCAATTTTGGGCTTTTTACAGGATTTGTCGGCAATAATAAAAAGATAAAAAGAATAAGCCCATTCTTATCCTTTAATCTGATGCGTTTTGCCTGGTGAATATTTCATAGATTTTGTTGTTGTTGTTGCCTTTTGGTGCATCTGTACTGTACGTGTGCATGAGCGGACTCCTGCATCCTTAATTCGTTTTAATCCTCCTCCCCCTCTCTCGTTTCTCCAAATTTGCATATATCCAATTAACCCCAGAACGGCGGCGGCGGCGGCTTTAGTGGATCTGTGAAGTGGAGGGCCAAGTTCTCCTCGGAGTCACTGTAATACATGTGCTCAAATTCACGTCGGCGTGAAGCCATTAAAGCAAGCACACGGCTTGATTCAATACTCCAACTCTGGTGTGTTGCGCATGAATATTGCCCACTAAGCGACAGGAAGTTGAATACATACCTGCGGTTTGTGTGAACTAAATCCTTAATTAAGGAGCTTTTGAAGACACTGCTTGTTTTCATAACCAACATCAGTTTTCAAAGAGTTTTTAATGACAGCTTTCAAAATTGTCAGCCCAACACACCTTCATAACATAATATCTCCCAAACATTTTATCCATGCAGCCCAAAACTATCACACGATTATCACACTTTAGTGCATCGGTGTCGTATTCTTAAGCACCACTGCCTCCATTTTCTATTATTCCTTTCACAAAACCGATTCAACTTTAATTACCAGCTGGTGAATATTCACAATCCCACACTCCAAAAAAAAAAAAAAACTAAATGTCATACAAACTTAGAAGTTTATGTTCTTCTGGACTTGTTTAGATTAAAGGCTTATTGAGTCACAGATTCTGTCAGAAAGAAGAAAACGCACGACTCGGTCTAAGAGCTTTTCTGTTTGTGTAAGCTCTGATTTACCTCGGGTGCATATCCTTCGACAGGTAAAACCACTGCCTAAGCCGCGGTTGGCTCATGCTTTGCTCATTATCCCACCTCCTGCAAGAGAACTGACTGACATGTCAGTTTCCAGACGGCCACAGTGCTGACTGGATGCGTTTACCGTCCAAGAACGGATCGATAGCCTCTTGGTTTGCAGGTGTTTATATCAATGTGTTGGGTTGTTTTTGAGCCAGATTTCTGAAGAGTAAAAAGGTCATAAATCTGTCTCCCAACTACAAAAATGCAAACAAAGGGAGTTGGACAAAAACTTTCTAAAGTCATCGAATCGATGTTCAGCATTGGTCTTGCACAGTATTGATGGAGTACTTCACTTCCCCACTGCTTTCATCTGGATACTTTCAATGTTTTCTTTAACTTTTCTGTGAGTTGAATTATGAAAGTAGCATTTTTGGATGCAAAAGCAATGATTGGGTTGATTAATCCCAACTTCATCTGTTAGATTACAACATAGTGGTGTTTTATATATCAGAATGTAAAACTCATTTTCAAAGTTAAACCTAGGCCAGTTTTAAAAACAGGGAAAATGACACCATATTTTCATTCAGTGGGTTACATTGTGTGATTATTAAAATATTTACATACAGTCAAATGTTTATGTACACTGAATAAAAAAAGACAAACACACCTTTATTTCTCTTTTTTTTAAGTTAAATCAAGCCAAATTCTCTAGTTTTGAAGATTTTAAAGGCATTAATAAATAACAAAGACATTTATTTCACCTATAATCTGTTCTAGTTACAAAGAACCATAATCATTAACAGGAAAAAACTCCACAGATTTTACATCAGAATAAGTAAAGCTATGAGAATTAGATGGAATTTACCTTAACTTATGCGGAAAACGCACTTCACTGCACTGTTGTGACTTTTGCTTCAGTAAACTGTATCTGCCTTCTGGCAGAGCGGAGGCTTTCTCCTCGCAGTTCTGATCTCTGCAACATTGACGTTCAGTGTTGGAGGAGTCATGAATATTTATTAGACTATACAGAGAGGCCTTTAGGTGCTTAAAATGTATTCTGGGTTTCTTTTACACTTACTGATTATTGCACATCGTGCACTCTTTGGTCTGACTGTGGTTTTTATTTAAAGAGGTTTTGTAACCTCATTAGGCCTGATTGGTATCAACCAAAGCTTTTTCTTTGCTTGAAAATCTTTTTTGAAGGCGCTCTTAAATTTGTTTTACGGTAAACGGCGACGATGCGTCCTCCGTTTTAGGTTTTATGATGGGCTTAAGTCACGGTAGTTTCTGGGTTGTTCATTATAACCTCTTTTCTTTCATTTGGGTCAGATGACTGAAGCCCAAATCCGTGTGGATGTTCCAAAGGAAAAGAAAATGATCCCAAACACACAGAGAGGCTGCTCTTGCACTTTACAGAAGGAGGATAATTTTAAGTTACTCAACAACACCGACCCTAATGGAAATTTTTGGAAATCCTTAAAAGTTGTCTCTGTTCCAGTAAACCTTCTTAAGCTAACCCCAGCAAAAAATCCTCAACAAATTTAAACGTATGCCCTCAATTCACTTATTTGCTTTTTTTTTTTTCTTCTTTTTTTAGAATTCTAACAGATGTGTTTTGTCTTTGCAAAAGAACAGTTTAAATAAATAAAAAAAAACAAACGGACAACATCCATGCTGATGACGAGTGCATGCAGCCTTCTGACTGGCACCGAGCGTCCTAGTTAAAGACTCCCTCGCTGTGTTTCTGTCGCAAAACAGCCAGCCTGGCCATGCGTGCGTGTCGGCGTGCAGCATTTCCTCTCCTCGTCCTCTTCTGTGTTTTCGCCACTCACAGGTCTGCAAAAGCATTTGTTGAGTTTTACGTGCGGTTCGATACGTGATATTGAGCTGAACAATGACGGGAAGTCCAGCAGTCTGTGCGTTGTTGGACGTGCGATGCTTGGAGCTCTGAGGAACAGTCATTATGCAAATCAGATGGCACTTGATAGGGAGAGGATATGCTGTCTGTATCGGTTATTAAATTTCTGTGATGGCGCACATTAATGCGTTTCAGGGTCTTCTCTCGTCTCCCTGTGGAGTTTTCCCATTTTTAAGTCCTTCAGAGCCTTACAATATGCACAGAAGTAGTTCTAATAGAAATGCATGTTTCACTTGCGCTGCTGCCTTTTAATTCAATAAAAGCAGATTTGGAAAAGCACTTTGTTCCCAGGAGGAAACCAACATGTAAACCATATGAGTTTTATTTTAGGTTTGGCTCACTCTTTAAAGCATTTTTAGTCAATTTTGACTTGTTTGCCATATTTTTCTGTAAAACGCATTCATTTTTTTTTTTTTCACAGTAAAGCAGCTAGAACACTTTTTTAAAATTTATTCATTTTTTTATAAAATATGTCTTTGTTTGAACTGGAACTCCAGGTTTTCTTATCAGACCTGAGCAGCTCAGACACTCGGATTCATTCCCTTCTGTCGCTTAACAAACATAATCTCAAAAGGTAAACACCCGGATGCGTTATGCTTCAACTCTTAATGAAGTCAATTTAAATAAAATGAGCATGACTGTCAGACTGTGTGGTGTCCCAACATTTCTGGAAAAAAATAGTCTTGTTCATTGTTCTCCTTTTGTTTCCTGAATGATCAAGATGAGATTAATTATTGCTTAGCTACAATCGAGTAGCTTTCTTTTCCAGAGAAATAACTGAATATTTTCTGATGTATCCTTTTTACTGTACATCATCAGTCTTACCTCTGGTTTTCTGCTCTCCCAAATGCTCTCTGTTGCAATGCAAGCATATTTCTATTCACTAGTGTTGCCGTTTAAAAGAAAATCAAAACCTTTTGTTTGACTGTTTGAAGTTTCTTTTAGAAAACAGGAATGGGATGTGTTAAGCTGTGTGATATAGCAGACTTATGCAAATATGTACATACATTTGCATATAAAGGCTAATTGGCATGGACCAGAAGAAGAGCAATCTTGCCACATCTAAAGCCAACATTTAGCAGATTCTGCAAAAACTATTCTGGAAAGCTGTTGTTCCTTTGATCGTGCAAACTTCACTCAGAAAACATGAGTGCGAGGTTTACTTAGTCCATACATTTTGTGTGCAAATGTGAAAAGTTGCATTAAAAAAAACCGGGAGCGTGGAATAGATTACTTTAATAAACATATTTTTCAACACTTTCTTTTTACTGAAGATGCAAGCTAAAACCCGTTTTCGGCAGATTAAAGCTTCGGCGTCAAAAAGCGGATATTCTCCAAAAGGCCATGCATTGTTTAACTTTGTGACATTTACAACACATCTGACCTCTGTACAGGTTTCTGGGGGTCCCACCTGGAAGAGGAAGCTGCCCCCTCACAGGACCTTTACCCTTTGACCTCATCTACACAGACTATCACGGACTGCAGCAAATGAAGCAGCACATGGGTCTTTCTCTCAGGAAGCACAAGTCAGTCCACTTTATTTTCTCTGCTTTTCTGCATGCTCTTTAAAGAAACTGTCTCACTTGCTTGTCAATCAACTTAATTTTGGTCTCCAGTAGCTTGAGCGATGTATTTTTAGGTAGAAGTATCAAAGCTAAGGAAACATCTATATTCAGGGGACTGTTGAAACCAGACAACGTGCAGATATTTGGATCACTGAGCGAAGACAATGACCCAAGCTGCAACTGCGTTGGAGAATGTGGCACAGACAAATTAATACTTATTTTATTTACCACAGCACAGAAAGTTAATTACATTTATGGATGCCCACTAAGTAGCAGTCAGATTCATTACTTATTAGAATATTCTTAAGCATATCTCACTGCAGAAATGAAGGAAAAACGGATGGAAGCTCGTTTGCTTATTTATCCAGTATTAAAATAATTTTGCTCAAAAACGTATCGGCACAACACTGATCTGTTACATCGCCGTTACATTTGCACTGACCTGAGAAACGCCACAGAAACACAAAAGCAATAACTGAGAGAAGTGTTGTTCCGGTTCATATTTAACAAGAACTTGTAACTCCAGTTCAGCCAGGTTAAAATCAATGCATCTTCATAGCCAACTACCTAAATATATTGAAATAAGTTTACAATTTGTCTGAAGTACTTAATTGTTCAAGCAATTCTTTGTGGCATTGAATCTCGTGCATACATATTTCTCCTTAAATTGTCCTACGTTTGTAAGGAAAACACATTTGTGGATCGAAATCCTCTCAACCATCGCCGAGCTGCTTTTCTCGCTGTGTTACGCAGCACCTTCTTTTACTGGGGAAAAAATAAAAATAAAAAAATGGCTTGTTGTCGTCGGAAAGGTGGAGAAGAGGTTCTGCAACCTGTAGGAACCACATACAGCCACTCTCAGGGAGCAAGCTCTATGCTCAGAGAGGCCAATGGCAAATTATTCATAGACACAATCCACTAGTTTTTTTTCTTGCAAATGTGATCCTCATTTTGAAAGAGAGAGGGAAATAAAAATACTTTCAACAGGTTTAAGACTTATTGTCAAGCAGCGGAGAAATAATGGGCCACACAAACATTTCCTCACTCCTTGTGCTAAATTTACGCCGTGAAGCTGTTCAAAAAATGCATCATTGTCTTGGATTTGTAACCCAGCCTCTTTTCTCCTCCTTCCTTTTTTACATCTGCTGTATTTCTCCCTCTTGTTGCGTTTGTGCACAAGCTGCTATTTATTCCACAGCTCATCTGCACTGTGTCTCCTGCAAGCAATGAATTAGAGCTGCAAAAAAAAGTTTGTGTAATCTGTTAGTTTTTATGGTTACAAAGATGAACTGCTAATTCCAATACAACATGCCGAAAATATAGATTTCTGGTTCAGATTTGGTGGAAGGATGGCTTCCATCCGAAATAAACGCTTCAATTAACTTGGTTATATATTGTCCTCTGCAAATCCACACATGTAAACGTTAGCCAATTCTTCTCGTCAGAGATTTTTGTTTTCCTTCATTCTCAAGGAGAAACAACGTCTCAGTCACTGAAATGTCGTTTCAAGAATAACATCTGCAACAGTTTTTATTCTTTTGAAATATTGAAACGACATGCGCGTGTTTTACTTCTACTGTGGACTTCAGTTTTTGCTGGTGGAGCTTTTTCTGAAAAGAAAAAAACAAGCTAAAATACACAAAAATGGTCAAATAATTTCAGGAAGAATAATGGAGAACACCGAGTGTGTGAGAAAGCGTGTCCTCCATTTCCCACCGCCTGCATCAAATGATGCTGCTGCCATTAAAATAACAGCAAGTACTTAAATTTTACATTAACTGCAGCTACAAAATTCTCCACTGCTTGTAGTAAACTTCGGCTCGAGGTTAGGTGGAAAACCAGCCTGGCTTCTTCACAGATTAGACGACCTGTTGATTTTAACCTTCTTCATTAGAGAGTTAATGGGTCTACACAAACCTTACGGATTATCCAAAGTTCTGCTTTTTTTGAAAAATAACCACAGTTTGTGCTGCTGTGTTGAGAGGAACAGTGCAGATTTCTAATGAATTTGACCCCTTTTGAGGAATATTACCTTTCAGCGACTCATTTGTGGAACCAATTCTTTCTTTCTTAAATCTCAGATGCCACATCCGAGTGATTGACACCTTCGGCACAGAGCCCGCTTACAACCACGAGGAGTACGCCACTCTTCACGGCTACAGGACCAACTGGGGCTACTGGAACCTCCACGGCCAGCAGTACATGACCATGTTCCGTATGTTCAAGCTAATTTCATCTGTTGCAGATATGCAGAATCTCTCCTATCGGTTGATGGGAAAGATTCTGCTCCAATTGTTTTTTTGTTGTTTTTTTTACTGAAGATCATAAATCAAAAAAAGTTGTTCAGATGAGCAGAAGTGAACAGATGTCTGTGTTGCCGTGTGCAGAGCAGATTGTGCGAGTGTAAACCGCCTCAGGCCGTCACAGTTCAAGCTTTGGACCACCAGGCAGAGAGTTCACTCAGAACAGCTGGGCCTGCACAGATGCCTAGCGAGCTTCTTCTGGCCGCAATCGCACAGGAACAACACCAAACACACACACACTCACACACACTCATGTTAGATTCAGTGAAACTTCTGAGATACAAAACTTCAGGTGGTCTCCAATTAATCCGGGGGCCACAAGCTGCAACCCCGTTTCCAAATTATAGTTATCGGCGAGATTGTCAGAGAAATTTCAGTTTGACTTCTTTGCTGTTTGCTCTAATTTTAGGGTTGTTTACTTGTCTGAAGCCTAAAATCTGTGACAGATTGAAGCCTCGATCTGCTGAATTTCAGAACACGAAGACATAAAACGCCTCCTGGACGCCTGCAAGTAAACAACCGTTGTGCTCCTCCGCTTTCGATCCTGGAGTATTATTCAATAAAACCAATCAAAAGGCATAATGACCTCCTGCTCTATGAAACCTTGGTGCTGTGTCTTTTTATTTCATGCTAAATTATGAGAACATCTGTATTTGCGGAGACATAAAATGGGTTTGGAGCCATATATTGGCAATTACTGTGTTTGTCCTTGGCAGCCCACACGCCAGACAACTCTTTTATGGGGTTTGTGGCAGAGGAGCTGAATGAGACCGAGAGGATGCTTATTCAGAGGAACAAAGTCAACAACATGGCCGTCGTGTACGGCAAAGACGCTAGCATGTGGAAGGTAAGCGCGACGCCGACGTTTTTAGCAAGCAGTGCTTGCAGTGAGAGCACAAGTTTGACCTGGTTGACCTTTTGTCAGGTTAAAGTCGCACTTTTAGTTGCTCCACTTTTAGCAACAAAACGTTGAGCAACAAGGTTCTCAGTTTTGCTTAGTAATGGAAATCTGGAAAGTGTGGTGTGCATTTGGATTCATACCCCTTAAATCTGAATACCCAAAATAAACTCTTTTGCAATTGCTTCCAGGGGAAACTCACAGACTGGGTTGCATTTATCAGACGCAGCCTGGAAGAAGGTGCTCTGGTCAGATGAGCAAAGCTAGAGGTGAAACCAGAAGACCTGCTGCTATAATCGTAGTAAAAGCATTGACTTGTAGGGTGTTAAATACAAATGCACAGCACGAGGTTCAGAGTTTTAAAAATATTTGCAACCACATATCGTTTTCCTTGCTTCACAGTCGCGTTCTACTCCGTTAGATTAAAGGTTAATGGTTGTAAAATGTGATGATGCGGAAAAGGAAGCGAATTTTCCAATAGACCGTGTGTTTCCCGTGGTGATAGTAGCTCTGATAGGTGCCTTGTTTGTGATAAATACTGTCTGCAGGATTTGATTCATGTAGCTGTGAAACACCCACAAGATTTTACATTCCCTGCATCCGCTGCAAGCATGTTCCTCCTCCAAGAATCATCTGAAGTGTGATGCTAGAAGAACACTTGCACTTGTTCAGAGTAAACTTTCGCTCCAAGCTCCTGCCAGGGTTTCTCTCACTTGCTGTATCTTCGAAGTGCGCTGCTGCCTCCCTCGGGGTTGGTTTCTTTTTTTTTTTTTTTTTTGCTTGAAACCGGCTGCAGCTTTGCTCCTACACTGCCAAAGACTTCCTTCTACCTCAGAGCAGTTTGAGCAGCGGTGTAACACTGGTGAATATGAGGGCTTGCAGTGTTAAAGAAACTCTTCCCTCTGAGAGATTGCCTTGCTCCACCTCAGTTTTTAGGGCCACGTTAGAGATCTGTGGTTTGTTGGTGACTACACAAGTATGAGTGCTGAATATTTCATTTTTTTTCTCTTAATTTCCCTTTTTTTTTGGTTGTTGTTCATTTCTCTCTTTTTTTTTTTCCTGTTTTCAATTTGTATTTCTCTCCGTGCGCCATGCTGGATGCATCATTGATGGACCTGCGTAGCTTCAAGTAAGTACTGCTGCTTGGTTATTGATCCTCCAAATGCTGAAAGTGTGTAACTTACAGATATGTCAGGAAAAAAAAAAACCTTAAATATTCATCACTATAAATGTAAGTCAAAGTTTGTAAACAAGATTCTCATTCTGGTCATTTGTTGATGGTGGGCATAGATGTCATATTCATTTTAGGCTTTTACTTTTTCTTCTTTATGGTGATATTATCATATATTCAGTAACTGCAAAAAAGCAAGAATTGGGCATATTCCATTGAGCATATATTGTGATTTTTTTATTATTATTATTTCACAATGATGGGGAAAAAAAATCACTCATACAAATATGTGTATTTGGATAAATGTCTCACCTCATGAAGCTGAGAAAAATGGGTAAGAGTTTGGTATAATCAGGGCTTTTTTTTAATCCACTTCTTCTTTCCAGGAACAGTAAATCTTTTTAAACAGGTTGGCATGGATCGAGCCTTTAAGCTTAATTCACTTGTTTTTAATAGGGTTCGTTGTGGCCATTCCGAACGTTCGATGTTAAACTGCTTAGTCTCTTCCAAAACCAGTTGCGATGTGTGTTTGGGATCATTATCATGCTGGAATACTCAATTGTGTCTCAATTGTCTGTTGACTTGAGATTAAATGGGAGGCTTTAAAGCAGAGCGGCTGAATTCTTCTTATTGAGTATCTGTCACGAATTCAGACTTGTGTAGCCAATTATTGTTTTTGTTTTTTTTTTTTTAATAATTGCAGTTGTTAGTTGCATGATTATCACTCACTGGGAAAAGAACAATTCAAATGCATCAACAAAACTCCATAATTAATGTGAGATCCGTGCCCATGGTGACTGTGCACATGCTTCTTAGGAAAAGGAAATAGAGCAAGAAAATAAACCGTATCTTGGTTATTATGCTCTCCTTGTGCATAAAAATGTGGAAATACTTCAGTTGCCTGCATAAATGATTCAAACCTCGGAGACAAAGCTTACTAAATAATTTGCAGCATTTCAACAAAAACATGTTTTTCCAGTAAAATGGTTCAACTAAGCTCACCCACATTATAACACAAGGCGTAAACATTGCTAAAAAAAAAACTAAATCATTTTTGTCAAACTCCACAAACACTGAGTTAGTCACCAACACCACGATGTTTGAACAGATGATTAGATCTGACTCTTGTCCTCGTAATAATCTTTGAAATTAACCAATATGGCCGACGTTATGAGAATGTACTTATGTCTTTGTTAAAGTAAAGTCTTATGTTAATTAAACATTTGGTTTATTAAAGGCTTTATGGATGAAAGTTAAGTTCAATGTCTTTGACGGGGACCTTAAATAAAACACTGCTACGATTTACCCACTACAAAGTACTGTACAAAAGAATTAATATCTGCAGTTTCTGTTTTTATTTTTATTTTTTTAAAGAAAAAGAAGCTTCAAAAATGCATTAATGTTTTTGACTTTTTTTTTTATTGCCAAATGGGACCAACATAAAGCTATGTAATGCAAAGTTTGGTATTAGATGCATTGAGTTGCAACAAGGCTCCCTACAAATTCAAAGTTTCACCAGAGTCAGTAAAATTTTGTTGGAAAGAAAAAAAAAACTCTTCCTAAATGAATAAAAATCTGTCTTTGGACTTTTTAAAGCTAAAGCAATACTGAGAAAATAGCTAATTATGCTAAAATAGCAGTAACTGACAGAGTCGATCTCTTTATTCTCTATATTTGAGGGTAAGGAAAATTTCCTGACAATCCTGCATCGCTACATGGAGATCCATGGCACAGTGTACTATGAGACACAGCGCCCCCCAGAGGTTCCTGCCTTTGTCAAGAATCATGGCCTGCTGCCTCAGCAGGAGCTGCAGCAGCTCCTGAGAAAGGCAAAGGTGAGGCGAACTACTAATGGTTGCATCAGCTCAGTTTATTCCTCAAAATGTCTTGCCTTGCTTGTGTGGACTCGCTTTAACAAATCGCCTGGATGTGAGCAGCCTGATGTACTCACAGGGAATCTTTTGTTTGTCGCTTTCCTTGCAAGCTATTCATCGGGTTCGGCTTCCCATATGAAGGGCCCGCTCCTTTAGAGGCGATAGCCAATGGCTGCATTTTTCTGCAACCCAAGTTTAGTCCACCTCACAGCTCTCTCAATCACGAGTTCTTCAGAGGCAAGCCTACCTCCAGAAAGGTAGGTGCATGTTGTATTCACGCTACTGCAGCGATAAAAAAGTAAACTCAGCCTCTTTCAATTCCAAAGTTTTACACATCAAGGCATGATAAAGAAAAAATGATTTCCCGGCTTTGATGTTAGCTTCATTCATCCTTCTCATTTCAGTCAGTGAACAATATTCTGACACATTACAAGTCACACTACAGAAAAACTCAAGTAACAGAAAAAAAACTAAGTGACCTTTTTGTTTGTCGCTCCAGGATTTTACACGCAACGTTTCTTCAGTTCAAAAAAATTTAGTGAGCGTTTGTTTATGCATTCTCCTCTCTGTAGATTCTGCCAAAACCATCATGTATCATATCGACTGGACCATCTTGCAGCGTCTTAACAGGTTTTGTTTACCGACATGTTATATTCCTGATTCCAGCAGCTTTCTGCTTGGCTTTCAAGATGATGGAGATGCACACAGATTTCAAAAGGACCCCCAAAAATTAAAGGTGGTGTAATAGCACTGGGATTATGTAATCAAAGACATGCTAATCTACAATCCATCTTCAGCTGGTTCAGATTTATAGGCCCATAGGTTCCATTTCTTCATTTCGTGTTTGAAGGTTGGAACCAGATCTCTGTCCGTTTTACTTTGGCAGCAGTAGCTAAAATATTGAATCCGTTTCGTAAATGTCAGGGATTCATTCGGCCCCTCTGCATGACCTGCTCTAAGCAAGGGAGATCAGAGTTTTGTCTTTATTTGATCTGTGTTTAAACCCATTGTTCAGTGGGGAAAAAGGAGGAGATGATCACAGGAAGCTAAAGAAAGTATGTGGGGATGTGTCCTGGTCACAGGCAGGGATGAACTCTGGGTAAATGCCACTTGACACCAATGCAGTGAGATGTTCCTTCAAACGGCAATACCTGGATCTCCATCGACCCGCAAAAACGAACAAGAGGAGCAGAACCTTATTACAGATGCGTGCTCAAGGAGGAAGAAAAAGAGGATGAAAGAGGAAGTTCAGAATCCTCTTCTCATGCACCTAACCTAGCCTCTCAATGTCCCTTGAGCCACAGCCGTCACACCTCAATTATTTTCTCCTCCATCTCAGTCGTGTATTTTTGTTCCACTCGATGTTGTCTTCAGTCATGAAATGCCTGTGCCCCCTTGCCTACCTCTCTCATCTGTCTCCAGCGGTCAGTTGAACACACTTCAGCTCCGGTGCAAGTCAACACTTTACAGACTATGTAGAATCTACATCAGATCTCCAACTAGAATAAAATGTACCGGTGCCTTTGAAGACCTGTCTTGTCACAGAACCCAAAGGAGCCCATTCATTCATCTATCATTAGCTGTTGTTGTGGTAATGTGTGCTAAAGCTGGAGTTGAGGATACTGTTGTACACCTGCTCTCTCAAATCTGTCATCTGGGAAAAAAACGGGAAACGCTTTGAGGATCATGTTCTATAATTTCTCAGTTAAACAGTGAAATCTCTTCTGCTGCAAGAAGGTCTCGGTGTCAGAGCCAGTTGTGTTCTGGGTTTGGCTTTGGAGTCTCTGGAGCTGATTGTGATTAGGAAGAAGCCTAATAAATTACAATCCATGATATAAACTCTGCGCGTTCTTTTTTACAGCGCAGTAATCTAACAATCAAATATCTACAAGCTGATGTTTAATCAGTCACTGCAAAACAGCCCACTATAGGAGAACCTCTTTAGACACATAAGTTATAACATATATTTTTTCTTAGGGCCTAATAAGGCATTACTGACTTGAACTAAACTGTAATGAACAAACCCAAATCATTGATTCTCCACCACCACATGTGAAGGATTACATGAGTTGAGGGGCTGTTTTTGGTCTTCAGCAAAATTGGGTTGTGCATAAAAACACACACACACACACACATCTGCATTTTGGTGTCATCTGTCCAAAGGAAATCACTCTACAAGATTTTATTGGTGGTTCATTAAGATCTCGCTTTGTTGCCACATGTTGCCACATTCTTTTATAGGAAGGAGAAACTCATCCCTCCTGACAGCCCTCCGAAGCAAGCCGTACTTGTTCAGTCTCTTTCTTTTCTAATTAAACTGTCATGAACTTTAACATTTATCATGCTAACTGGGGCCCGTAGACTCTGAGATGTCGCTCTGGGGTGGGAGCATTGCTAGAAATAGAGCCCTTCTGGGGCACAAGCCCCCCCATCACTTAAATCACATCGTTTTTCATCATAAAGGCACAGCCCGCTGCAAGAATTGTGCGATATAAAATGTCACATTGACCTTCTTTGCTAACTCATCTTTGCCTTAACAACGGCTTACTATTCAATATGAAGTAAATAAGAAAAAAAAAAAGCCGCTATGGATTATAATCTTTTATCAAAAATGTATATCTCCGGTTCGCACTTTAGCTAATAACTTTTTTTTTTTTTTTAGGTTTAAAAAGTAATACTCTGCCAGCGCAAAGCCTAAGTGCAAAGAGATCTGTGCGAGTGCGGGTTACTTTATTCACGTCAAGGATATCATTTCTTCTTTCTCCTCTTGCGCTTCCTTGACAGTTCTTCCAGCTCCTCCTGTCTCCCCATCCTCCAACTATCTACGCCTCTTCTTCAGCTGCACCAAAAGACAACCTTATGAACTGCAGCCTTTGTAGCCTGTACAATTTGCATCACAATTTGTATGCAGCTAGGTCACATAGTCATCTTGGAAGATGCACTGCGCTGAATTTGAGTGATAGAAATTGCTGCCATGCAATTGTAAATACACTACATATCCCCACATTCTTCTTTTATTTTATTCTTTGTCCTACTTTATTTAGTGTACTGTTACTACCCATCTTTTAAATATAAATGTGATGTCCCTTCTACAGAAAACATTTTTTTTTATATACTTGTATATCACCAAATTAACATATTTTGCGAGGGAAGGTATCCATAATTTAAGCTCACCCAGATTTAGGCTGACTTATTTTCTATGAGCTTTATTTCCTGTAAACTGGTGAGCTTGTTCTCATATTGTAACTATGACGGATGATTTTCAGTATCAAACACCATGTACAATAATTATGTGCAGAGCAATGAGTGCTCATACACTATGCAACAATATGTGCATCTGCCATGAACAATTTAGGTCTTGCTGCTGGTTTTGTTTATATCAGTAGTTGTTTGAATTTGTAAAAAAAAAAAAAAAAAAAAAAAAATTAAAAAAAAAAGGAAAAAAAATGTGCAATACATTCAAATGGCTGAGTTGAATGGAAATCCCCTGTCAGATTTTACAGGGGCACATTTGATTGAAACTCCCACATGTATCTCTGTTTAAAAAAAATAAAGGGATAAAAAATCCTGGTCTCACCCACGGACATTAGTCTTTTGCAATTTTGTTTGGCTTCACACAGTCTGACCTTGGAGGGAAACTTGGTGGGATATTCAGTGTGAGGAACTTTTGCAGCTGACTTGAGTGTTTTTTCCACTCACTGAACTCCAGATTAATTTAAAAAAAAAAAAAAGTCTTACAAATCCCTTTTCCAGGCTAATGGGCAGCAGTTTTTTTTTTTTTTCTATAGTAATTACTGTTTATTGTCAGTCGTGCTCCAGAGTAGCAAACTGCCAAAAGGGAAATCCTGATACATGAGTAACATGGTAACGGAAAGATGGTGCACTTACTTAACACGCCCGTTTATTTACATATGGAAAAATATTTATACCCCTTGGTCCACTTCACATTTCATGAGGTTACAACCTCAAAACTCAATTTGCTCTGCTGGGAATTTATGTGAAAATAGAAGGCAATTGGAAAGGGAAAGAACGGTCCTAAAAATTCGTCTGTATACCATTCTGAGAGATTTGTTTTTGTATTTCATCTCCTTTTAGTCTGATGGTTTCTAATTGCTTGAAAACTCACTTAATTAATAACATAGACAGTACAACTATTAATCATGCATTTCCACAAATCTGTCTCACAAAAGTGGCAAGAAAACAAAATATTGTTGAAAGAAAAGAACATGCATGTGTGACGGAAAACTAACTGAACCTCAATTCCCCGAAAACATGGTGGTGGCAGTATCATGCTGTGGGGAGACTGCAGAGGCAGGAATAATGTTCAGACTTGATGGGAAGGTATATGAAGCTAAATGCATTGCAATCCTGGAAAGAAACTTGTTAGATGACGTTCAGTTTGTTAAAACAGGACAATAAAAGGTACATACAGTAGACAGGGACTTCAAAGAATACTTATGTGTTAGACTGGACAAGTCAAAGTCCAGTATTATGCTAGAAAAAAACTTTAGCAAGACTTTGAAATTGAGGTTTATTGACGCCAGCCGTAAAGTTCGACTGAAATTAAGCTATTTTGCATGAAGTAAACAGAAAAAAAATCAGTCTTCTTTAGACCCTAAAAACATGTTTGCTGTATTTGTAGTACTGGAAAAATTATTGACACATGGGAAATGAATACAAAATGATATATTTTTTTGCTATCATGTATACTTTTTCCTTGCACGTTGCAGTTTTGGGATATCACACAAAATGCAATTAAAACACACTGAAATCTGGGGATCCACTGAGAACGCTTTGTTTTAACTTTAATTAAACTGCAGTTGTGACTTTTTTTTATTTTTTTATCTATAAATATCCCCATATATTTCTCTCCCAGGTGTCCTCCCAGCATCCCTACGCAGAGGAGTACATCGGCAGGCCACATGTCATCACCATCGACTTCAACAACTCTGAAGTGTTTGACGCCACCATCCGTGAGATCATGAAGATCAACGTATGTTAATCGCTTCCGTTTTCTACCCCAACCCTTGACTTATCCATCAAAGTAAAGCTTTTGTATTATCACCGGCAACCAAAGGTGCACCCGGCTGCATATTACACATAGGTGAGGTTATAATGAGCTCCTTCAGCTTGCATTGACCCACTTTTTTTAAACCCCGCAGCCGTTAATAAAGCTCTTAATCTTGGCATCTGACATTACAGCAGAATTGCTTAGCTGGCTTCCTCTCAGCTCACTTTGCTTCTAATTGCCTGAGATATTGAGTGGCTCTGCTGGTAAACTGTGCCCACACCTGGTTTTACACAGCAGCTTTCTGGAGGCCAGCCCCACAGGCAGCAAGCGTTGTTTGCGTTGCATCGAATGAATCAATCACGCTGTTCTCAATCTGTCACCAGAACAACCCGGAGTCGCTGCCAAACCTCTCGTGGTGCAGAGATGCATCTGCGCTTCCACCAACCAGGTGTTTCCTGCTGATAGAGGCAAAACAAAGTACAAGTCGTTGCCCTGTTAGATACTTGAAGTGCTGATCCAAGGGGAAGGAACCGCGACGCTCGACATGCAAGATGACTAATGGCGGAGCAGAAAGGGATGGAGCTTGGAGCGATGGAGTGATTAATTCACACAAAATCAAACAAAAATCAGATTTTTTTTTTTTTTTTTTATTCGCTCAGTATGAATGTTTGCAAGCAGCTGGTCAGTTTCATCTTAAGTCAACAATCCAAACAAAACGTTCCTGGCTCGACCACAAAATCTGCCCACTAAGACTTTTAAAGCTGGCTCATCAACACATCACATCTTATCTGTCCAACAAAAGCCAAGCGTTCATATTTCTCAAGGGGCCTTGTGTTGGACCGTTTATTGACTAGCAGCAACGGGAGAAGTTCCCACAGCCTCTAGTTGCCAAGCAACTGGTCTACTTGGTGACATTTTTCATTTGCGCGGACGTGGTAATTGATGTGACGACGGGTGGTTTGTGTCACCTGCTTGCAGTACATAAAGTAAAGCTAGGTTTACCTTGCAAGTGTAATTTAACACCCAAACGTTAAATTAAAAACATTTAATTCAATATTAAACTGGATTTTCAGCATTGAACACGTAACCGTTCACGCTCACTTGCAAGTCTCAAAAATGTGGTATCAACTGCACAATAAAAGCAAATGACACGGTTCAAGCTGCAAATAAAGTTTTGTCTACATGTACTGAAGGACCACTCGGACTTGATGAAGATATTACTCCATAATTGACATAAAAACAACATATTTTAACATCAAATGCATTCCGATAGAAAGGTGTAATTTTTTGAGACATTTCCTTTGGTCAGAAGAAACCGAAATTCAAGTGTTTGGCTATAATGACCAGCAATAAAATTGGAGAAAAACCAGCAAACGTGCAATTATTAAGACACCATCTCTTCTGTGAGGTATGACAGTTGTGTCGGTATTTTCCTTCACATCTTGTAGGGGATCAAATATTTATTTTTGACACAATGTCATTCAAGATGGCCATTTTTCTTTTGGGGGGGGGATGCATTTTTTCTACATTCATGAGTTTTCTGTCTCTCTTCATAAAACATAAACTGCTACAAAAGTTGCACACAGAGTAAACCCACCACATCAAAAGTAGGTCAGATTAGCATTCCCTCTACTGTACACGTCTCTGTGCGATCTCTTCTCCGCAGAAATTCAGATCACCCTGCATGATTTGTTTTCCTCTCATTCTATTATAACAACATGCCCAAAAGGCAAATTGCATTGCACGACAGTGCTGATGAAGTGCCAGCTCCATTTCATTTAACTCGGATAAAGTAATGTAATAAGACGTGGCTAAGAGCAACAGAGTACTAGAAAGAACCATTTATCAATTTAAATGGAGAAATGCATCGGGTGGTCTGATGGTAAACAGCGAGTACGACGTCAAAGAGAGGAACCACCACTTTCAAACCAGAGTTCGTCCTGTTCCTTCATCATTCCTCATCAGCTTCAAACGGTGGCATTTCCATACATCTAAAGACACCGTTGTACAGTGAATGGTCTGACTCAAGTGCATCTTTTCTTTCTGTGGTCTGGTCTTAATACCAGAAATAGTATTAAGTGCTATTGATCAGCTCTTCTCAGGGAATTTCAAAACATTTTATATCATCAAACTGCAGAAGGCAAGTGACAGGCTTCCATAGCTGCTCCAGCAGGACCCAGATTACACTAAACCCCCCCATCTGTGGCGCTCTACGACCTTTTGATCTGCTGTCAGCGCCATCCATTGTGTGATGTATCGACGTAGTCATCGCCAAAAATAATAATGAAATTAATTTTCAAGGCTGCCACCTTTGATGTATGAGGTCATTGATTTTTATGTGAAGCCCGTGGCATGATATAAGTCTTCTACAATTACGCTAATGAATATGTCAGCTAGGATTAACTATCAGATGCTCGGTTCCTGTAATTACAATGGCTCGGCATTCAGACACCGACTTCCTCCGCTTCTTCTGTGTCCGCAGGTGGAGCCGTTCCTGCCCTACGAGTACACGTGCGAGGGAATGCTTGAAAGGGTTCATGCCTACATTCAGAATCAGGTGGGTATTTGAGCTCGCATCGACAGCCTGCTGTTTGTTCGTGATTGCACCAACACGTTGATAGCAAGACGAACGTTTTCGCTTTTTACTGTCGCAGGCTTGTCTGTTTGCATCCCTGTTTACCCGTAAAGTTTTGCAATCTTGCCAGAACAGGTTTAACGGTGCTTTGAAAGGAGGCGGAGAATGCAGGAAACCCCCTATAAGCTTGACATCGATTCAGATTCATGTTCAGTCAATGCTCTCTTTGTGATATTAAGCTTTGGCAGAGGTTGAAGATGGGCGCGCTTTCCTGTGCTTTTATACGAAGACTAATATATTGCCATGTATATTACGTCCTGGCAGAGGGAGCTGCTCAGATGGCCTTAAAAAGACCAATAGACACATGGAAATTACACTACAAGACTACAGTTGAAAGCCAAAAACCATGAAATGCTTTGTGTCAGTTTTAATATAAGTTGTTGTGCGCATAGCACAAAAAATATGTATTGAATACGCTTTTAAAATAGCTTCTTTTGCTTCTGTATACAAGGAAATTCAACATTTACCAACTGTTTCACCAGACTTGTAATTAAATAAAAAATAGAAACAGTTTTTGGAAGGCACATTTTTCTGTTCGGTTGGTTTTGTTATACTTCTTTCCACCTCATAATGCAACAAAGTCAAACCATCAGGCTTGAAAGATGAAAAGGAAAATCAAAGGCTGGAATCCAGATACCACTTCCTCTTGTTCCTAAGATATGAGATATAAGATATATCCTAAAATATGTTTTAAAAATAGCTAAAAAATAAAAATAAAAAAACAATAAATGCAATTAAATAATTAAAAATAAAAATAACATAATTTTTTTTTTCTATTTTTTCCTCTTTCTCTCTCACTTGCTTTTCAAGGTTGAATAGAAAAAAAAAACACTTTTTTCTCCTTCATAAATGAAATAATATTCTACAAGGAAAAATGATCAAATTTACAATATCACTAACATGTTTTCTGGGCACTAAATTTAACAACACTCTTCAAACAAGTTTAATTTCCATTGAGGCTGCCACTGATGACATTTATTATCATTTATTATGATGATAATAAATGTGATAGCTGTTTGTCTGCAATAAATGTTTCTGTTTATTACAAATGTGAAAATAGGTTTGCACCTTAAAGTCTAAAAAAATTGTTATAAAGTGAAAAAAAATCACAGTAGTCAGAGGATTTATCCAATCTCAGTGCTCAGAGAAACCTTTCCATCTCCAGTATCTGTCTTTTTACCAGCACACGTACGACGCTGCTACTGCTGTGGTTTAAGACAAAACATTCGGATCGTCTTATCTGCTGCTCTGTTGCCTGACTTGCTGGACTTCCTTACTTTCCACCGCTTTGACCTTTAAAAAAAAAATAAATAAAAAATGTTCAGAGCCTAGTTATTTCGGCTGTGGCTTATTGGATAATCTCATCTGGCTTGTGCCGTGTACCTGCATCCACAGATTCTCACATGTACCCCTGCTGCTGTCTGCGGACGAGGTCCTCCTCTAAAACATTTGGAGGAAATTGTTGTAAATAATGTTAGAAGAAAGAACAGAATAGAAAACAAACGTAAAAACTAAAATTATAGATGCTGATAGAACATTATAGTTGACATTATTGATTCGGTTCATGAACTGCAGTGGTCCAGTTGTGCAAAAACTCAAATTTTACCCTGTGATGTGCAAACTAGTGGTATCTTCCTATTTGACAAAGACGATGCGTGTATGTACTTAGATTTTCAGTGGATCTTTATTGGCATTTCCTTGGTTTTGTTTGTAAGAGATGGAAAATAACTTGCTTTGTTGTACAGTCTGAACTGCTCTGAAGAAACGTCACGTTTCATTCTACAATTCTGTCCTTTTGCTGTTTAACGTTCGTATCTCTAATACCTCCAAAGTTATCTTCATCCTTTATTATTTTTTAACCTTGAATAGATGCCAGGAGGTGGGAATATTTAGATCCTTCCTTTCTCCAATGCATCCCGGTGTCCTGTTGACGGTGGGTAATGCTTAGTCTGTTTTGTGTGAGGAGTTACTTTATTACACCATGTGCTCTCACAAGTATTTTGAAGAATAAGTCATTAATTATGTATTTTTACAGTTCCTTCCGTTTTTGTGCAGGCATATGTCCACTGGCTTGCTAATCTATATTTCTTTGTAATGAGGAGTTTCTCTTTTCCTTCTCACTTCCTGTTGCTTTCTTTTAAGTTGCTTGCTGAAAGTAATATGCATTGTCACTTCCCACAGTGTTCTCTGAAAACTTTATTATGACAGAGAAAACGACATTGCCCTGACATTTACAGTTTTTGTATTTTGGGGGTGGGGGGTTGCACTCATCCAAAAATCAGCTATTAGAACAAGGTGTATCTCCGTGTTCTGCTTCTTTACTCTAATTGGTATTCATTATAAACCCCCAACATCTACACACATATGTAGACATTGGTCTCTTCCAGCCATATCAGGCTGCTGTTGTTTAGAAAGTGTCTTGCTGCGCCCGGGTAAGGAAATATCCTAGCCTCTGTCACACATTGTGGCCATCCCCCTGTGTCAAAAATAACACCAATATGCCGACTCACTGACCATGACCGACTGAAAGCATGACCCCCTCCTGGTGCAGACTCCCAATCAGACTCTCATCCGTGTTTGTTCAACTTCTTTAATTTTATCTTTCCCATGTTTGGATTTTTCCCGGCTTTAGGCTCAACTTATCCTAATCCACACATCTTTTACCTTTCCTGAACCTGTCGTCCTTGATATCTCTCTCTCTGTTCACCAGCAGAGCTGCAGACCCTCTGTTACCATCACACCGCATATTCTTACGGCATCTCAGTGATGCCTATATTGAAACGTAGAGGGACATCTTAAAGACATTGGAGCTTTTTTATGCTAAATCTGACATTTAAGGTAATGCACTATTTTGCAGTTGTCTGAATAATAATAAATTAACTGGGGCAGGATTGAAAGGGGACATTGTGCCCATTTGTGCTGCTCTGATTAATTAAATGTCACTTAGGAAATCTAATAAAGCTGTGTAAAAATCAGGCACAGTGAATTTAATAACGAAGACAATAGTGGATTTGTACAACTCCAGAAGCATAATTATTAGACGCATTTATCCATAAAGTTCATTCATTCAGTAATGAACGCATCTAGAGTGTTAATGGTATCTTATGAATTTAAAGGTTTTCTATTAATTATGCCACATGGTGGCTCTGGTTGTTAATATTTTACCATTGCAGCTGAAGTGTCCACTGGTTTCTTTTCTCTGACTTATCCAATCAGAACCACTGTAATACCCTTCACTTCCAGTAGGAGGTGATAGAATTGACATTTATAATATTTAAACCGGAAAAGAAGGCCCTGATCCTTGGAAGAAAGGGAAACTCTATGAATCCATATTTCTCTCATTTACATAGAAATAGTTTGGGACGGAGGACAAAGCTTTGTGGTATCCCAGTACTAATACATAACTAACAACTGGTTAACGTTTCCAAAGGCAAATCTTTAGACTTATCTTTTAGAAAAGTAACCTTGAAAACGGAAGATTATCACTTTTAAACTTCAAAGCTTGTGAAAACAACCAAAGCGTTATATTTATAAGTATTAAAAAAAAAGGGATAATTGAAAGCACATACATAATCTTACATGTAGAAATGGCATTTTGAGGTCAGTATCCTTTCCTAACCTTTTACTTTTTCATGTGTGTGCGAGAGAAGAGGGATCAAAGATGTCGCCTGTGTTTTTAGGGGAGAAGGTGCAGCAGAGTTTGGGAGATTGGAAGCTTGGTTATTGCCTGTGGGCACGGGGAGCTTGTTTAATAAACGGGTCCAGAGGCCAGAGGGACATGTCAGAGAAATGTTATTACCTTGGTTTTATTAATAGGCCCAGCTGGAGGGGGGAAATGTAATCTGGTGACTCGCTGCAAACGTGAGTTCTGCCTCAACATCTTATTTGTTTTTCGGAGACATTTTTGCATCCATGCAAATTGGCCGAGGTTTACGGGAACGTGTCGGACACTATTGGTACTTTTTGCTTTGATTACATTTAAAGCGGTGCGTAAACTGTAATTGCAAATAAAAACACATTTGTTCGGAAATCATACAGAATTCATTTATTACTTTAGTGCGTGCTGGAATGAAAAAAGTTGTATGAGAAGAAGCTCAGTTTTACCCATCCGTCACTGCCTCCTGGGGGAGGACAGTGTCTTGCAAAGGTTTTTCATCCGCTTGAATATTTCCATCTTTTATCAAGTTGCAACCACAAACTTCAACAAATTTCTTGTCACAGACCAACACAGAAGACTTTAGAGGTTTCTGAAAGAGCATTGGCCAACATAATTAATACCACAGCTGATCCAGGAATACAGGAACCATAGTTTACTTGTTTGTGCTATAAAATGGCACTATCTATGTGCCTGGAAACGGCTGATGTTCAGACAAGTTCTACATCAAATCTAAAAGAGCTTGAGCTGTTTTCCAAACAAGAACGGCCAAAACTCTCACCGTCTCTCTGTGCAAAGTTTGTAGAGACATGTCCCAAAGTACTTCAGTAACGTAAGGAAAGATTTTTTTTTTTAAACTATTGACTGAGGAGGGACAAGGGCAATTTGTTGTCACCGATTTTATTTGTGGTTATCAGAATAAATAGGCCTGAATGTCAGTTTACAGGACGGTATTTTGGTTTCTTTAGAAAAACCATTCTTTCAGATCAGTTGGTTCATTTCATAAAATTTCAAGAAAACATCTTAAAGTTTGTCGTTGCACTGCAACAAAACATGAAAAATACCTGGTGATATGAACAATCTACAATATGTAATGTGTTCGACAGAGAGCCACTCAAATCTTTAGTGTCTCGCTTGTAATTTTTTTTTTTTAATTATCTTTACCTTTGCAGGACTTTTGCTCGCCTGAGGTTCCATTTCCTCCAGTAAACGCATCTTGGGCTTCGCTGTCAGGTCCCTTTCTGCCTTTGCCGAACTCCAGAGTACTAACTTGGGCCGCCAACACCACCTCCTTTCCATCGTGGCCTCCTCTTACCGCACTTCGACTTTTGACGTCGGTGCAAGGCCAGTCGTGTGTGGAAGCGTGCCAGAGTGAAGGACTAATCTGCGAACCTGCTTTGCATCGTTTCATCAACATCAAAGAAGCATTTAGCGCGTAAGTTTTTTTTTTTTTTTCATTTGGATAGTTAGTGAAAAAAACATTAAATTAAGTTACTTTTTACTCATCCAAGGACATGCTGTGAAGATATAACTTTCCTTTCTCCCTAAGAGCGTCTAAAGGCAGCACAGTAACATAAATAATAAATATGCATGTCAAATAATCATGCATCTCCTAAGGCGTTTGTGCCAGCGATAATGTCAAACATGTTAAAGGATTTCCATTCATTTTTTTAACTTCTTCTGTGCCCAGGTTGGATCTCCAGTGTGAAGGAGTGGAATCCGAGATGAACCACCTCTTCCCTGCCTTCTCTGCAGAGCACGCCGAATGCAGCCTGCAGCACGATCCGCTGTTGTTCAGCTGCGCTGGCTCTAGTCCCAAATACCAACGCCTTTGCCCCTGCAGGGACTATCGGAAAGGACAGGTGGCATTGTGCAGGGACTGCTTATGACCAAAGAATGGCCCGGTATAGGGAGTTCTTTTGTAGTTTTATTTTTAATTTTTTTGTAAACAAAATATCCAAGAAGAAACCCTTAAACAAGGAAACTTTGAGGTGAAGGAGCTGTGCTGCATATATAGCAACTTACTCACTTGCCGCTGTCCTTGGACTTGCTGCAAAGAGTTTTATCAACCTCTCAGGGAATTGCACGATTGTATCTTTGAATTTAACGCTTTTGAAGTTTTCACCTCGTTAAAGTACGACCACAGCCACCGTTAAAGAAAAACGATCTGTAATTACATGGGTGGCTTCGTAGAGAAATCATCAATGTCTACTTTTCCTTTCTTTTGAAGAACTGTCGTAAACGTGCGTTCATGTGAAACCTCGCTGTGTCGTCGTGGGGAACGGCTACGTGTACAGATGCACCCAAAGACATTCATCTCTTAGAGATGTACTATTTTACATGTACTGTGGAAATATATTTGTAAATATACAGTAGGTGTTGTTTAATAAAACAAAAGAGGCAAATTTGTTGCTAAATTTACATGTTTTTAAAAACACTCCGTTGAAATAAATCATCAACACCGAGCGCTACTGCAACCCAACAAGCACAAGAAGGCCGTGATTGGCTGATCGTCATCAGCAGCCGAAGCTTTTACTTGCATGTCGACTCAGATGATGGGGAACTCCCAACATAACTTACAGAGCTTCAAAGATTTCGTTTATGAAGTCGGACAATGGGAGCTGGCTCAAGAGGAAGTACTTGGATCATTTAATGTCACCTTAGTTTTCACCTGAAAATCTATGTTAGGCATTTTGAAAATCAGAAATCAAAAGTGGCGACAACAAAAACAATGAAGGGCTCCTTCAGACCCTGCTGACCATAACGTTTTTTATAAGCGTTATTGTTCCAGCTACAACACTTTTTTTTTTTTTCCCTTCCACTCAACTTTTTGTTGATATATGTGCAGACAACAGTTAGGGCGCAGGCATCAAACTGAATAGAGTTGCATATGAAATGCACTTTTACTTCCCTGAAGAACAACAAAGAATGGAAATAATAATAATCTGTCTAAAATTAGAAGGTGTGTTCCTTCACAACGTACATTTACTGTAAGATTGAAAATGGCATTTTTCTAATTGAAAAATCACAATGTTTTCTTGACATGCCACTTGTCGGAGAATTCAAAACTATTGGACGGTGCAGAGGAATGCTGATTTTCACTTATTTTCTGAATCACCTCAAGTCATCCAGTAGATGCTGTTTTTTCAAAATATTCTTGGTTTAATTCAACTTAAACTCAAAAGTTATTAGTCCAAGTCGGAAATGAAATGTTGTAGTTGACATTACACAATTTTCTGAGTTGTTGTAGATGCTGATGGCTCTATAGCAGTCAGTATCCCAGCGGTTCTGAAGAAACCTTTGAAGACTGTCGTTGAATGACAGTCTGGTGAAGATGATGCTAAGATTAAGTGTGTTTTTGTGAAGTGATGAGGGAGGTTTTCTGGCAACAGTAAGCTTTTTTTTTTTTCTTTCTTTAAGAGCAACTAAAAAAAATGTTACCTTTTAGTTAAAAATGTTCACCAAGGTTAATTGTCTTGCCCATGACTTTGTGTTCCAGTTATTCGTTTTTGCCTCATCCATGTGGGCCTCGTGTGAAACTATTAAAAGTTTAATTCTTAAAACTATTTAAATCACCTTTCAGACAGCCAATATAACATGGCTGCAGTGTCACAGAAGTCATTATCATGTACGCTGCTGCTCCACTAACGCCGAAACCATTCAGTAGGATAAGAGGATTTTAATGAGACATACTCGAAGACAGAGCTGGAATTTGTCTGTTTTTCCCCCTTTAATGACAGTGCAAGTGTCTCTTTGACTGATGGTAAGGGCCATTTCACAATATGCCCATTTCTCCTCGCTAGTTTATAATCTCTAAGCTAATATTAAATTTTCTCTTGATCCTCAGAAACCAATTGCAGAAAAACGCATGTGTGTGGCAGCAGTCAGTAGTGAGGCTTTGAATATTTAAAGGATTAAAGGTGAGGATATGGGGGAGGATATATATATACATATATAAAAGGTTCTGGGACTTAAATTTTTAAATATGAATAACCACATTTACCATATTCCACCTGGAAAGTTTCTCAGTTTTGAGGGGGGAAAAAATGCAGTTAAGAGAGAAAAACTAGGAGGCTGGTAGATGCAGGTTGTTTTGAACTCAGTCCTCTGTGGACATTATTTGTTTAAAGCAAAGGACTTATTTTAATTAGGAAAACTCACAAACTGATCAAAATTACTCTAACTTGTCAGGCTATTATGCTTTTTTTATTTTTTCACAGGTTACCTCTTTCAAAATGCCTATTTTTTTTTAAATAAGTGGTTTCATGTGGATCTCCTCATCTTTTTTGGATCTTTCTATTCTTTTCCACCTATTTCATTGCTTGTGCAGTTATGTGAAATACCTGAAGATGACAGATGGGCTCTTTTGACTACTGGAACACGATTCTCTTTCTGCAGGACCTGTAATGGCAGCGCCTGCAATGGGAGCCTACAGACATTCACAGGGAGGGGTTGCAGTTGTCAGCGTGCGACTGAGTATAATCGGCCTGTCATAAAACAGCCTGTAGCTGTGCAACAAGAGTGTCTGTCCGGTTCAACGCAGACAAAATCACCCGAAGTTCAATGCAATCACACAACACTGCACTTTTTTTTTTTTTTCAGTTTTGTTTGTCCAAGTTTTATGATTGGCTCCTCAAAACTGCTTTAGATTTCAATCAAAACATGCTCTTACTTTAAGTGTTGGTTTCTTCTGATTTCTCCCCCAGTGCCGTACTTTTGCTGGTTTTGTTTTTTTGGTACCAGATTTTGTTTAGGATCTCATGTGAGGTTTCCTATACACTTTATCAACTGATGACTTCAAGTAATTTTCTGTAATTTTCTCACAGTCTCTGAAAGGAAATGTGGTTATGGGTCTCCAAAGAGTTTTGGCTTTCTGTGAAGGTACATCTCAACAATTCATCAAAAAGTTCAAGGGGTTGGATATGGTTTGTTTACAGGTACAAAATGAAATAATTTAGACTCTGTGGAAACACATGGCTGAGAGTTGGGGGTAAAACTTGAATAAAGAGTGACTTGACCCAGATCCATCATATACTTATACCGTGATTGTTTTCAAACTTCCTTTTCACATTTTGTGCACCTTTCACTCACAAAAAAAAACAAAAAACGATGCTTTTAAGTGGAACCATTTATAATTTTAAAATCTTCCGCTGAATAAATCTTTTTAATGGTCATTTTATTTTTCTTTCTTTCTTTCTTTCGGTTAAGTAAATCTAATGTAACTTATAGTTAGTTAAATTAACTTGATTGTTAAGCGAAATTGTTGCTGCATTGCTATAAGAACAGACATCATTCTGTTTTGTATGCTGTCCAGAATGGCACACAGAAACATGCCATCGTGTTTTACGGTCTGCCTTTAACCAAGATCCTGCCACACAAAATATTTGAAGCACTCACTTTCGCTCTATACCTGTGGCCAACAATAAAAGCCTTGACGTACCTAGAAGTACTGACAGCAGTTACACAATCTTTCCCAAAAAATGCTAAACTCCAGATATTGTGGATGAAACCTAGTTATACTAATCTTCAGGATCTTTAAGTGGTTGGTGTTCTTTTTAAAACCCCAAGAAAAATCCAAGTTAAAATATATATTTTTTTCTTAGTGTAGTTATAACCTGGCCTTTGGTAGCCTGGCAACCTGTCCAGACGCTATAGCCCACCTCTTTCTCTCTTAGTGTGACAGATAGGAACCAGCTGTCCTCAAGCAGGTGCAGACAATAGATTGACTGATAGATGAATAGCTGAAATGGAAACACTGGATCAGTAAGCTGCAGATCTGTAAAAACCTTGCTTCACTGTCTACGAGACACTCTTACAGGCGAGTTATTTTTTTAAATGAAGCACTATGAAGTTATCAGTAACATTTGATTGATCATTTCTGAAAAGATTGCTACGTTGCCATGTTTGGAAGATAGAAAGCTCTAGCTAAGTTTCTACCTAAACACGTTTTTTTTCTTAATCATATTTGAAAGATTAGACTTTCTCTCCTGTTTCTGCTAAATCACAGAGTTATGTTTGTGGATATGCTGTTTTGATTTATCCACACGATCATAAACTACCTGTTAACATGATTAAAAACAGTTTAACAATTAAACAACTTTACTTTTTTGTGTAATTATGCTTAGCAAGTCATTTTTTGAACTCCCACATCAAGTTGAAACAGATTACTGCAGCAATTGGAAAATATCCTAATAAGTTCTTGTACTCACAGAAACCTACAAACTCACAAATTTTTTTTATTTATTTTTTTTTTATTTTTTTTTTTTGCATTGCCATTTCTATTCAGACTTTGACACATTCAGCAGGGAACCTCGACCCCCACCACAGTAAATTGAAACATTTTCCATTTGACAAATTTCTCGTCACTTCTTCAGCTATGCATGTCCGCGGTGACAATTCAGACTACAATGCCCAGTCAAGAGGGTTCTCTAATGTCATTTTAAGCTTCCATTTCAAACTCTTGTTTGGTATAAAATGCCAGTGGGTTGCTGTAGCCCTGGACGTCAAGGCAGAAGACGGCATTCAATACCGAAGGCAATTCTGTTTCTGTATTCATAGAAACGAGCTTTAGGCTTACTTTGGACGTACATGAATCATCGCGCCACAGACTGTGCTGGAAAGAAGCAGACAGACTGTCTGGCAGAGGGGACAGATTTGAAATTATGTCTTACTGCTTACCTCGAGTCGTCCAGTCCTTCTGTTAAAGCAGGACTGAGAGGAGGAAAGAGGAAGAGGTGTAAGACGAATGTCCGCGTTGCTTTTAGACAGTACAGCCCTGGTGACGCTGCTGTCCGATTGGTCTGTCAAGCTGAAACGGGAAGTGATTGAAAAGGTGAGACGGAGTCTGGCGTTTTGGGCAGGAACGTGGACAAAGCTCTGGCCAATCTGCAGATATAGGAGACGGAAAATATAGTGGGACAAACTGAAAAAAAAAATATAGCTTATAGATCAAAGCTCCAAGATTAGCGACTGAAGATTGTTTACATAAATATTGCAGTTGAAAAAGAGGCAGAAGAGAGCGAAGCGGCTTGTGTACATAAACACTTTTAGGTCTGTGGTGGGAAAACTTTGAGAATTTTTGTTAAAATTGTCCTAAAAATACCCGAGACAAAATACATCAAAAAGTGGAGCAGAAAATCATGTTTATTTAGGTAAGACTTTGCGGGACCTTGACATAAATGTTTTTAGAAATCTCAGCATAGTTCAGCAGATGGCATGCCTTATAATCATGTCAGTCATTATCAAGACATTCACGCTGAGACGTCAAAAAAACTGGTTGATCTCTGCAGAGTCTAAAAGGTTTATGTGAAGAACAAAATGAAGTATGCTGTGAGGCAGAATAATCTGAGAGTTTCCAAACCTTTCTGAGGCTGCACTTGCCCCATGACAGGAGCAGAACCTTATACAAGCTGGTAGCTCTCCAAATAATTACTGTGAGGCTTCAAACCATCCGATTGGTGCAATCTTTAAATTTTCAAGTGTTTCAGGAACCACTGATCATTCCTGTAAGTTGAAAATTCTTCCTTAGAAAGAAAGCTTTGGGGATTTCTGTGCTCGTCTCGGCGTCTTTCGCATTGGGATGGTATTTTATCTTTGGTGAAAGGCCAACTCCTTTCTTCACAACCTGCACACAACAATAGTCTTCCCGTCAGATTTGAAGCAAAAGTTGACCTTCGGTGAACCAAGAGCGACATCTGCTGCTGTTTGGTGGATGTCGCTTGTGCTTCAGATTTATGGGCGTACCAGAAACGAGAGAATACAGAGGTTCCCACCTGGCAACTTTGTATGTAAAGAAAAAAAAAATGTATACATGAATATCCACTTCTTCTGACTGATTTCTATTATGGTCACCAAGTTTTCAATAAAAAAAAAAAAAAAAGTTTTCTCTGGAATAAAACATTGTGTTTAAAATGGTTTCATACTGGAATAAAAACAAAAATAACTCCTCACTTCTCAGCATAGATTGTAAACCGTCAAATGTAACTAATGCCAAGTTTTTTTTTGTTTGTTCGCCACAAGTTTTTGAACAGATTAGCTCATTTCAACGGTAGTCCTGTAGAGCCATAGAGTTATCAGCGTAGGATATTAATACATGGATGGACAACTAAAGTTCAAACGGATTTTTAAATCGGCTTCGTATAACTTCCTGCTTAGAAATCCTGTCGCTGAAGATGGCCTGTGAGCATCAACAGAACCGGTGCCAAAGTCCACATCCTGTGTGGTGAATCATTAAGATGTTTACCCTCAATTAAAGATGTTCTTTCTGCATGAGAGCCTTCAGATGTGAATCTAAGTATACTGATACGATGGTGTTGGATAAATGATTTAACACTTGCTTAATCAATTCCCCCTGGTGCAATGGCTGTTTCTGTGAATTTCCCTGTGACTAAAACAATCTGTGTGCTGGATTATTTTAGTTTTGCTGGCTTTGATTCATGTCCAACACTCAAGCTTTATATTTTTCTCCCTTATTTTCCTTTTATCTTTGCAAATCAGGAAAAAAAAAAAGGTGCAGCAAGAATCTCACGAGATATTAGACTCTTTTTTCTAAAAAAAAAAAATCCTCTTGATGTTTGCAAACTGATTCAAAAGGAGCAACACATTTTATGATCCGTTAAAACTTACTCACACAATTGGTCCAAACCGTGAACTGTACGTGAATTTTAATCGATTGAGATGTACTTTGGTGTTTTGAAGATTATTAGTGTTTATCTCTGTAGTGTATTTAATCTAAGACATTAGAAACACACAAAGTCCACAGAGACTCAACATTGTAAACTTCTTTGGGGATTCATTTTATGGCTATTTTAGCGAAGCCAATCGATGTGCTTATTTTGACCAGCAAGAAATCGTTCAATATTCTAACAAAGAATGCTATCAGGTTTAGTTGAGATAATGATAAACTAACTATTTCAATCCAGTGTTGCCTTTTGTGAAGACTTCCAC